TGATTGCTAAAGTGACAGGACCAAATTACTTCCTATCCATATTAACCCTGAATGTAAATTACTTAAACTCGTCAATCAAATGCCATAGATTAGTAGACTGGATTTAAAAAACAAGACCCATTTAACGGTTGCCTACAGAAGGTACGTCTCACCAACAAAGACGTGGAAACTGGAAGTGAAAGGATGGAGAGAGATGCTCCAGCCTAGTGGGACTGTGTGCTGGGGTAGCCATTCCTATATTGGATAATATAGACTTTGATGGGAAACATATTTAAAAAGATGAAGAAGGACACCACATAATGACCCAAGGATCTGTTGACCAAGGAGAAATCATCTCACTAGTTTCTTAGGATGTTTTCTTTTTTATCTCTAATTTTACTTGGTTTTTCTCTCTTGTTTTTCTTTGTTAGTCTAGCTAAAAGGTTGTTTTGCTCATTTCCTTAAAAAATGGCTCTTTCTTGTTGCCGTTTTTAGTTTTTATTTTTAATTCCATTTATTTTTGCTGTGATTTTTGTCATTTCTCGCTTCCTGTTTGTTTTTGCTTTTTTTCTTTTTTTTTTTTAGATTTATTTATTTTTTATTACAAAGTCAGATATACAGAGAGGAGGAGAGATAGAGAGGAAGATCTTCTGTCCAATGATTCACTCCCCAAGTGAGCACAATGGCAGGTGCTGCACTGATCCAAAGCCGGGAACCAGGAACCTTTTCCGGGTCTCCCATGCGGGTTCAGGGTCCCAAGGCTTTGGACCATCCTTGACTGCTTTCACAAAGGAGCTGGATGGGAAGTGGAGCTGCCGGGATTAGAACCAGCACCCATATGGGATCCCGGGCGTGCAAGGCGAGGACCTTAACCACTGCACCATCGCACCGGGCCCCATCATTTTCTTCATTAAGGTTTTTGATTTCCTTTTTCATTTCTGCAGTGACACATTGGTCATTCAGTAACATGTTATTTAACTTCATGTTATTGTAAATTTTCCGCTTTTTTCCTGTTGTTGATTTTGTTTCATGGCTTTTCATTTGAGGAGCTGTATAGTAACTGTGTAATAGAGACGGTCATAGGATGTAAAGATAACAATGCAGTATGCATCTCCATTCGCCAATCAAAGATGGAAAATCAGATAGACAGAGAGGAAGATCTTCCATCTGATGGTTCACTCCCCAAGTGGCCGCAACGACTGGAGCTAAGCCAATCCGAAGCCAGGAGCCAGGAGCTTCTTCCAGGTCTGCCACACGGGTGCAGGGTCCCAAGGCTTTGGGCCGTCCTCAACTGCTTTCCCAGGCCACAGGCAGGAGGCTGGATGGGAAGTGGGGAACGCCGAGATTAGAATCAGTGCCCCTGTGGGATCCCTGGAGTGCAAGACAAGGACCTTAACCACTACGCTATTGCACTGGGCCCAGAATCCCTGTCTTGACAGCAGGATGCTGGGCTGTCTGTCATTGTCCATGCCTACAGTGTCAGGATACACTTAAACAGCAGAGTGATGGACTGATGACTGTTTGTGGAGGACTGTTCTGTTGTAATAATATAGGGGAAATCAGTGCAGCAAGGGGACCTGGAGGAGGAGGGGGAATCCCAGAGCCTTGGCACCAGATCATAAAATAGTAATAAAAAAAGAAGAAAAATAATAACTGGTTGGGCAGATAGGGAAGGGTGAGAGAGAAACGGAGAGAAAGAAGATCCCTCATGCCTCTAAGCCTGTAATGTGAGATATGGGAAATCATTGTCTTAATGGTTAGTTTAAAGGATGAGGTCATGGGGCTGGTTGTGTGCTGCAGTGGGTCAAGCCGCCAGTATCCCATATGGGTACTGATTTGTTCCCGGCTAGCTCCCTGCCAACGCACTTGGGAAAGCAGCGGGAAGGTGGCTGAAGGGCTTGGGCCTCTGCACTCATGTAAGAGACAGAAAGCTCCTGGCTCCTAGCTTCAGTCCTGGCTGTTGTGGCCTTGTGTGGCATGAACCACTTGATTTGGAACTCTGCCATTCAAGTAAAAAAAAGTTCTATTTATTGGAGTGCAAAAGTATTTCAAAATCCATGCATATTAATTTAATGTATAAATCATCAGTATGTAATCTAATTTATATGATTATATTCATATAAACTGTTTATGCTGAAAGAGGTTTCTCACACAAGCAGGCATACCTGACCTTTATTTTCTGTTACTTTAACCGTCTTGCTCAGCTTTGCATGGCAGTAAAGACATTTCTGCAGCTCATTTCAATCCAGCTTCCTGCTTCTGAGCTAGAAAAGTAGCAGAGGCCTGTTCAGGTCCTTCCGCCCTGCGCTTACCTGGGAGACCCAGAAGAAAGTCGTGGCTTTGGATCTGCCCGGGGCTGGCCGTGGTGGCTTAGGGAGTGAGCTGGCAGGTGCAAGAGCTTCTGTCTCTTCCTCTATCTGTAATTCTTCCAAGTAAAATGAATGAATCTTTAAAAAAAAGATAAATTATAGATGGAACAAAACTGTACCTTATTTAGAGTCCTTTTCCCTAATAGAATATTTTTTACTAACAATTTGAAGTGCTGTCTGAGAGGTTTTGTGAACATAGTACCAGCTTTGTTAAATATTTAGAAAAATATGTGTCAGTTATTTCCTGTCTTCGGAATTGAAATTTCCCAAGTGTCATTTGACCTTGAGTGGCATTGCACTTTGTCCCGTCTGGCCCTCAGCTGCTCCGTCCATCCCAGGAGACCATAGTGCTTGTCTATGTGCAAATGTGAATTGCGGTTGAAATCCTGTGTATGGAAATGTGCTATAAACAGGACAGTTTTAGGGGGAAAACGGGCAAAAGCACTTGCCCACATCTGAGCCCTCTTGCCACACTGCAGTGCAGCCTCTGTGTGTGCCTGTGCCAGCCGGCGGGGCTTCCTAAGGCCCACGGCTCTGCTCCAGCACTTGAGTCAAGGGTGAGCACACACTGACTGCATGGCTGTCGGTGGAGATGTTGGGGTAGAAATATAACTAAGAGAAAATAGGAAAACTGCCGTGAGAGTGTTTGTTGTCGCTGTCATCATTTGTTTGAAAGGCGGCATCCCGGAGAAGGGAGAGTCACGGACACAGCTTCATCTGTGAACTCCCTGAGTTGCTGCAACAGCCAGGCTCAGACCAGGCCAGGACCAGGAGCCTGCAGCTTCTTCTGGGTCTGCCTCATGGTGCAGGGGCCAAGCACATGGGCCATTCTCTGCTGCTTTCCCAGGCCCAGGAAGCTAGGTTGGAAGTGGAGCAGCCAGGCCTGGAACTGGCACCCATATGGGATGCTGATGTCACAGGCAGAGGTCTGCCTTGCTTCACCACAATGCAGAATCTGTCTTTGAGTATGAGGGGAGAAGTGGGAGGATCGTGTGGCTTCCACAGTGACGGCTGACACAGCACTTAGGACTGTGACGGATCCTGCGCGTGGCGGAGTCTCCCGTATGATGGCCCCAGGAGTGTGCGCTTGTTTATCAGAACAAGCGTGTCCTTAAGGATAAGCTGACTTCTTGAATTGTAGGGTGTAAGATGCACATTTCTTGGAGGGCATCTTCAGACGCTTTCTGTTGGAGACTGAAGTTCTTGGCCTCCTTCTTGCCTGCCTACCTAGGGAACGTGAGCTGATCTCCTTGGGATGTTTTGTGGCTTTCCAAGGAACTTGAAATATGTGACATGCTTGCTTTTTCAGAGAAAAGCAGGGAGTTTCCAGCCTCTGCTTCTTTCTTGTCCCGCAGTAAACACTGGCCTCCTTCCGGTGCGGCCGGTTATTTTAGGCCTCATAATGAGAAAGCAGCCAGGAGTGCTGGGGACTAGAAGCCAGGAAGCGTGTCTGAGACAGGGCAGCTGTCCTGCCGAATCGGCTGCAGCTCTGAGGTCAGTGGTAGGAGCTGGTCTTTCAGTACAGGAACTAAGAATTGAAGAGTATTTTTAATTTTATTGATTTAATTTTTATTTTTTTGAAAGTCTAAGAGCCAGGCTGAGCTGTCCATGCCTGGTTCACTCCCTGCAAGCCTGCGAAGGGCAGGGCAGCACAGGCTCAACCGGCCCTGGGTTAGTCTGGGTTTTCCATGTGGGTGTCAAGGACTGAAGTGCTGCACCCCAAGAGCCACGTTACCAGGAAGTTAGAAGCAGAGCTGGACTCAACCCGACCACTGCCACACGGATGCAGGCTTCCCAAGGGGCATCTTAACCGCTGTGCCAAGTGCCATTGTGAACTGCGCATTAGTAAATACCTTCAGGTGCACATTTCTGTGCCAGGGTTGGAAGGCCAGTAGAGCCAGATGGACTCCAGGTGGGCCCTGTGGGAGCACAGGGTCTGTTGGGGGCACTGCAGTGTCCCTGGGAGCTGGGGGCTGCCCTGGGAGGGGCTGGGGATCTGAGTGCAGTGGAGATGACGGTGGAGGTGCTTGGGGATTCCTTCAGAGGCATGGGCAGGACTTGTAGCAGGCTGCAGCTTCCTGGGCTGCTAGTAGAATGCTAAGTCATGGCCCCAGAGCGATAGCCTAGTGGCTAAATCCTCACCTTGCATCCACCAGGACCCCATATGTGTGCTGGCTCATGTCCAGGCTGCTCCACTTCCCATCCAGCTCCCTGCTTGTGGCCTGGTAATGTAATAAAGGATGGTTCAAGGTCTTGGGACCCTGCACCCACAAGGGAGACCTGGGAGAAGCTCCTGGCTCCTGGCTTCAGATCGGCTCAGCTCTGTCCATTGTGGCCATATGGGGACAGAACCAGTGGATGGAAGATCTTTCTCTCAGTTTCTCCTTCTCTATATATTTCTGTCTTTCCAATTAAAAAAATTAAAAGTCATTATATAAGAAATAACATTTGTTACTTTTATCTAACTTTAATGGCTTATGTAATTGTAATTATGGAAACTACAGTATGCTCTTCATGCAAGCTTCCGCTTGAATCCCCCAAGCTGCCAGATTTGCTCTTTAAAAAAAAATAAACCATTTATTTATACAATGCTAAATAAAGAATATATGCTAATTCTAAAATATTAAAAAGTGACATTTTTTTCTTTATTAGAATTTCTGTGCAAGGAATGCCCAACCATTCACATACACATAGATCGTATAGACAGGAAAGATGTCCCGGAAGAGGAGGCGTACATGAAAAGGTGGCTGCAGGAGCGCTTTGAGATCAAAGATAAGTGAGTACAAGCCGGGCCGCAGCTGAATCTCACGTTGTAAACACTTTAAACAGCCTGTTATCTCAAGAATCCCTTTCACAAACTGGCTCAAGTCTTACTGCATGCGTATCTATTCCTATCTAAGCTTTACTTTACAAATCACCATGAAAGAACTTGTTAGGTGGCCTGTGTCTTCATTTATGGTATTTCCTAGACAATACCGTGTGGTACGATATAAAACTTAGTAAGAAAAAAAAAAAGCATGTTTTCTGATGGCAGCTCAGCCTTCCCGGGCCGGAAATGGGAGCTGGCTGCCGTGTCGTTTCTGCAGCGGATCGTCCTGTTGTCTGACTTGGGAGGGCTCGCAGTCTTGGCTGAGCCGAGCTGGTGGAAGCCCGTGTGTGGCACCTGCTGAGAAGGACCTGTGCGAACAATGGAGGTTTTGCTCAGAGGCAGTGTGGCTTAAAGAACTCAAACTCGGCCAGTACTGCCACTTAGCAGAGGGAGCCTCGCCCCAGCAAGCAGAATATATTAGTATCTTTGAATACAAGAAAGACATTTTATAATTTTCTTTATAAAACGTGAGTTTTAGATTTAGATCTGCTGTCTGAAAATTTTGTTACATGATGGTCTTTTTTTTTTAAAATGTCTTTTAACTTATGTGCATTTTTTCTTTTTGAAAAAAGTGTGTTAATAAGCTTTACTTATTGAAGATTTCAACTACTTCCCACATGCCACCGCTGCTCACAGGTGTAGCGCGGCCGCCCCGTTCCTCCGGAGACTTTGTTCTCCTTGCATTGCACAGGGCCTCGTTCCACAGCGTGTAGACTGACGGTGGACCTTGTGAGTTTTCTCCGCTTCGCTTCCCCTTAGCTTTGTTCGACGTAATTCACGAAGATATCTACTCAGGCCACTTTGGTTAAAGAACGTTTATCATGAAAGTGTGTTGTCGGGGGAGGCTGAGCTTGCCAAGCCCATGTGTGGCTCGGTGTGCCCTGTGAGGTGTTAGCTCTGGGAATGCGGTGTGCCCGCGGTAGGACGTTCCCTTTCTGTTTGAGATTATTACATTGAACATATTCTATCTCCCATTATAATTTCACACTTTTTAGGAGTACAGTTGGGAAAACCAGCCCACTGCCTTATTGTCCTTCTTTGGGCTGCTTTGTAGTCCCACGGACAGGCGATGTCCTGTGAGCGTGTTGAGCCTCGGTGGCTGCTGGGTTGGGAGCTGCGCTAGGAGACAGGCGAGCTAGCCCTGCAGCGGGTCAGGGGCTGCAGGCTTACCAGTGCAACGTTCGCGTCACATGACTGAAAACAGCTGTTTTGAAAGTCTTTAAATGTAGGAAACATACTAAAAATGTGTGAACAGTGCATCTTTGCTTTCCAAGGGTCTAGAACTTTTTTTTTCAGCACAGCCTAGGTATGACTAGATATCCAGTTAATATTTGTTAAATTGAAATATTGAAATGAGTGAAACAGAAACTTAAATTTTGTTTTCTTCTGACTCTAGGTTGCTTTTAGAATTTTATGATTCACCAGATCCTGAAAGAAGAGACAGATTTCCTGGGAAGAGTGTTCATTCCAAATTAAGTCTCAAGAAGACTTTGCCATCAGTACTGGTCTTGAGTGGTTTGACTGTTGGCATGCTTGTGAGCGAGACTGGGCGGAAGCTGTATGTCAACACGTGGATATACGGAACCCTCCTTGGCTTCCTCTTGGTGGTTATTAAAGCCTGAACAGGTAGCTGTCTCCTATCTGCGCGGCTGCACACAGTATCAAGTTGTTTCCTGAATTTACCTTATTGGCCGAACATTGGATAAGACAGAATCTGTGACTAAAGTGAATAGGTGATTGGGCAATCACACGGTTTTACTTTGGTGCTGGAGATGCAGGTGAGGTCACGGCTTCCGGAGACTGCCCGTCTCCCCAGTTCTGAGCTCTGCACCCGGGAAGATGAGTGGGTGCTTCTCTGTGGCCGTGGTGTGCTAAACATTCATTTGCAGCCCTTTGCCATATTGATTGGTTATTTCCAATTTGCCGCTGGCAGCTCCGCACTCTTGCCTAAGTGCCTCACCTTGCAGCTGTGTATTGGCTGTTTGCTTCATCTCTGTGCATGGGCGAAAATAGTGTCTCAGCCTTGAGACGTTCGAGGAGTGGGGCAGCTGCTCACGGGAGGCTCTTGTTGCCCACGTGACCTTGTGGTTTGACCTCGTGTTTGCAGAATGGGTCCCATCCCTACCACTTGTGTAAGTTGGTTACCTTCTGCACCTGGTACTGCACACCGAAGAGTGATGTGTTCAACACGACATGGAGTTTAACATGGTGACTCTAGTTCGTTGTAGTAGAACTTGAAACTGCTCAGCTTCTAGAAAGTTGAAGCCATGCTATCTGTACCTTCCACAGTTGTGCCACAAGTGCTTGCAAACATTCAAGTTTCCTGTTGGTTTTTTATGTCAGAGTAATCAGTGTGGACCTGATTGGACCCGAGTCCTCTGATCCTGGAAAAGATAGGAGCCTACAGACCTTTTATCTGTTTCTGCTTGGTCTCCTAGAATCTGTGATCCAAAGCGAGTGTCACCATGGCAGACTTCCTCCTGGGCCTGGTCCTGCTCCTGGGGATTCCCGCCAGCGGTGCTGCCCGGGACTGGCCTGGTGGACACCGAGCAACCGCAGAGCCAGCCGCTGTGCCTTGGTGCCAGGTGAACTCTGAAAGCTTCCCCAGCTACTGCAGAGGCATTGGAGCTTTGTCTCGTGTCAAGAAATTCACCTTCTTCCTGCCACAACGGACAGACTTCATGAATAAACTCGGCATCTCCCATTGCTTAACGGAGCCGCGGTCAGGTGGACCGCTGAGGACGGGCGGAGTTGCAGGAACCGCGCGTGGTTCACAGGCGTGGGCTGCTGTGTCCTGAAGACGCCGCGTCACGTGTGAGCTGCTGTTTCTGCATTACCCTTTGAACTTGACGGCCTGCTGGTCCTTTTCAATAACATTACTGCTCACTGCTAGCTGATTTTTGTTACAAAATAATGCCAGTGGCCCAGATGAATCTCACCAATTGAATCATGTTAAAATTTTTAAGAAGGGAATTTTTCTGACTTGCTACACTGCTTCTTCAGAACCAGAGAGTCAGCCATTCCGGGCAGCTGTTGGGGGGTCATGTGGTGTGACCTGGTTTCCGTTGTGTGTTGTTCTGTACGTCTGCTCCGCTCGTGTTTGTGTAATCCCAGGGACGGAGTGGGGACAGGGTGAAAAATCATCAAGAGTTCTGAATGCCAATTGTAACTTTCTGTTTCCTGTAAAGTGAAATTTAGTTTGATCACATGTTTTAGTTTAAATCCATTTAAATTTAGAACTTGTTTCCTACAAGAAAGCAAGAAGTTTTAGAACTTGAAGTGTCATGAGTGCGTTCTAAGACAGCACTGGGATCGTGTGGCAACGTGGCCTGTGTCGGGGCCCTGAGTGCCACGCCTCAGGCTGGGGCCTGCGTGCTCCTCGCAAAAGGCCTACGAAGTCTGGAAAATTAGAAGCTTTCTTTTAATCTGTGTTGATTTTGACTTGAATTAATTATTCTCTGAAATTCAGCGCTGGGTGCCTACCTTCGATGTTCCGCATAACACCGTTTAATCTCACTGTCCACTTGCGGTTAGTTGCGCTTTGGTTTTTCTTCGTTAGAAAGCTGTCCGCGCGCATGCCTTTATGTTTTTTCAGAAAGGGGTGTGTTTGGGTAAAAGTTGAAGAAAATAAAATTCTCCACTGTCTGTTCTCTGTGCTATTTCATATTTTATGACCCAAAATTCATCACCAGTTCTCTACTGCACAAAATATGCCTTCAGAAAATGGCCTTGCACTCCAGCTTTAACAAGCCAGGTGACGTGTTCATCAGCAGCAGCATTACTGGAAAGGAAAGTTTACAGAGAGGAGAGTCAGAGAGAAAGATCTTCTGTTGATGCTTCGCTCCCCAAATGGCCACAGCAGCTGGAGCTGAGCTGACCCGGAGCCAGGAGCCAGGGGCTTCTTCGGAGTTTCCCACATGGCTTCAGGTCCCTAGGCTGTGGGCTGTCCTGCTGCTTTCTCAGACCACGAACAGAGCTGGATGGGAAGTGGGGCAGCTGGGTCCACGGAACAGCGCCCAGATGGGACGTGGTACTTGCAAGGAGGAGGATTAGCCAGTGGAGCCACCATACTGGGCCTCCTGCCAGCCAGGTAATTTTTAAAATACTAATAATCTAGTAGTTTCTTTCACATGTTTTACTTCATTGAGTTTTTTTTCCACGTTTAGTACCAGTTTTTTTCCTTTATTCATATTATTGTGAGCTTTATTTTTCCCGTTGTCAAATGACATGGTTTATAATTATATTTCCTAAATAGGTCTATTTAAGTCAAATGATCTAACTAGATTGGCACTTAATAAAAATTGAAGTATGTACAAAATCTACCCATCAAGTATAGTTTAAAAAAAGCAACTCCCAGTTGCCTGGCAGGCCCTTATTTAGAAGGCGGAAGTATCGCTCAGTTCTATTTCATTTATAATTTATTTGAAAGGCAGAGTGATGGGGAAAGCTCTTCAGTCTGCTGACTCTACAAACAGCTGAGACAGCCAGCTCCGGGTCACTCCAAAGCCAGGAGCTGGGGCTCCCTTCTGGTCCCCACGTGGGAGCGGGCCAAACCCTCCTGCTCCCTCTCCAGATGCATTAGCAGGCAGATTGGAGGTGACCCAGCTGAGACTCAAACCTGCATCTCAGCAGGGGATGCTGGGGTCAAGTGGTGTAGCCCTAAGACAGGCCCTGTGAGCCCCTAAATCGGATGCTGTTCCTTCCAGTGTGGTCGCCTAGTTGGCCCAGGCCCGCCCCGAGCACCCAGCTGCAGGCCTGCCCACGGCCTGTTCTGAGCAGGGGAAGATTTAGCCATTTCATTATTTTCCCTTCCTTGGAAGTGGGTCACTGTTTTTCTTGTTTAAGATTTGTCTGTTTACTTGAAAGGCAGACCAGGAGAGAGAGAGCTTACATGCATTGGTTCACTTGCCCAGAATGGCTGCAGCAGTTGGGGCTGGCCCTGCACTGAGCCAGCATTCGGAGCCCCCATCCTGCTCTCTCACATGGTGGCAGAGGCCCAGGTATTTAAGCATCAGCTCTTGGCTTTCCAGGAGCACCCTGGGCTGGAACCAGTGCCTTGAATATGGGACAAGTTGCGGCTTAACCTGCCATGTCACATCTCTGCCTCTCTGAGAATTCCGATAGGACCGTGTGTGGCTGTGGGCGAGCTGGACCAGGGGCTCGTGTGTGGTCCTGCTAGCATGAAGCCCACTTGGAATCTGAGTGTGCTTGGAGAGCCAGCCTGTGCAGGGGTGACAAGGGTGGCCCTGTGGACCCCTCCCTGGGATCCCTGTAAGAAGACACGAGGGCCAGAGAGAGTGACAGCTGCATGCATAGGGGAGATGCCAGCCACAGACAAGGAGAAGCTGGTCCCGCTCGCACCTGCTGCTGGGCTGCAGAGATGCCTGTGTCTGCTGCTTGAGCCTGGCGGAGACAGATCTCTGGGCTCAGAGCACCCTCAGGGCAGTACAAGGCCAGACGCACCTCGTCTCCCTCACCACTACTCCCCTGTGCTGTGTCTTCTCTGCTGAACCCCTGCAGTTCTGGGGGTCCTGAGGGTGTCCTATCACTCCCTGCCATTCCCACTGCAGCACTGGCCTGAAGGCCAAGGTCACAAAGGCAGTGAGCTTGGCGTGCTCTCCCAGGGAGCAGGAATCTGACTGGCCAGTGCAGGTCCAGCCTCAGCAGTGCCTGCTCTTTTGGGACCTGTCCCATGGGAAAAGGCCACTGGGTGGCTCCTGCAGGGACAGGGCCTGGGAAGCCAGTGACTTCTGGGAGGGCAGCCCAGGGGGTCAGGTGGAGGCTGTTTCCTGACCTGGTGACCTTCACTGGAGACACTGGGTCTCCCCGGGCTCCTGTCACCTCCTTGGGGGCTCCTGGTGCCAGTTCTCCCTGACACTTCCCAGCCTCTGACCGGCGGCCGTCCTTCTCTCCTTTCTCCTGGGCTGCTGCCCTGAGGTCACACTCCCATTGGCCCTTTTCTCCATTTCAAATTTTCTTTACATTTCCTTTCCAGCTCTGCCCTGGGTTCCTCCTGCGGCTGAAGTTCCTGGACCAGGGATTTGGCGCCACCTAGCGGTGAGCAAAAACGACCGGTTTAGGTTCTTACTTAAAATATTTAAATTTGGAATTTTTTATTTGCTAAGTAAGGAAAGAAGAGGAGAGAAGGAGAGAGAGTGCCTTTTTTCCTCCCTTCCCGTAAACACCCACAACAGACGGGTCAGAGCCGGATCAAAGTCGGAAGCCAGGGACACAAGCCCCGCATCCCACATGCCTCCTAGCGAAGCTGAAAAGAAAGTTAGGTTGCACTGGGAGCCCGGTGCTCCTTTGTGGGACACGAGTGCCGAAGTAGTGTGTTAGTGCTATGGGAAGCACCCTCCGCCTCCCCCAGTTTACTTTGGAGTAGCTGGGTGTTAGTTCAAGTTCGTAAGCCAGGAGTTTAGACAGAGACCAAAGAGCGAGACAGACGCAACAACAGCACGACGTCACAGTCCCGGCCAGGCCCGTTCTGGGGGAGTGCTGGGTTCCATCGGGACCTGTGTTGAATGAGAAGCTGTGACCCTCTGCCCAAGGGTCATCCACCTGCCCAGGCCCTCCCTGCCTGCAGCTGCTGCGAGACCGTGAATTCCCAAGGCTTTCTCTGCAGGAGAGCGCAGCTGTTACCATTGCAGATGTTCCAGCTGTGTGAGTTTCCTTCAGTGTCCCTGCCAGGTGAGTCTGACACAGGAGACAGGCCTGAGCCCCTGGAGGACAGCTCGCTGTAGCTGGTGAGTGGTGGTGTTTGGAGTGTTGCTGAGCTCATCCTCATGGGCAGAGTGGTACACATTGGGCGCCTGAGGCCAGTTCTTCCCATTGAGAGATGACTTTGGGTCTCCCTGTTCTCAACACAGCGCAGCGACTCCTGGCTAAGGCCAGCCCAGCAGGTGAGGAGGGCCTGTCCTAACGCTGCACAACAGCACATGGTTCTGCTTTCAGTTACACAGCAGGGCAAGGCATGCAGTGCAGATGCAAAGCCGGGGACTGTCTCCAAGAGCTGCGGACAGGGGAGCAGGGGCCCTGGCCTGTGGTCTTGGGCTACACGGGGGCTTCGGAGGCTGGGAGACACAGAGGAGCACGGGGGCTTCGGAGGCTGGGGGACACGGAGGAGCACCCCGTGGGAACTCCCAAACCTCTCTTCCCCCTTCATAGAACACTGCCCTGAGTGCACGTGGCCACGTCTGCAGGACGGCGAGGAGCGATGCACGGTGGGCTGTCAGTACAGCCTGCTTTGGACCATGTGTGTGTGCATGCAGTCCTACAGATGTGTACACACATGTACACGCCCATGGACACACGCACACAGCCCCATGGTCTTTACATGCAGGAACAGCCCCACTGATATACATACAACACATGTGCCATCCCTTAATAGTCATGCATCATTTCCGTGGGCTGGTACACACATGCGCAGTCACGCAGACCCATACCTGTATGTGCAGTCACAGATCCACATACATACACATGTATAGACATACCTGTATTACGTACACATGATGTGTACAGTCCCACAGATCTGCAACACATGCATATGGTCACACAGATCCATGCGTACACACACGACATGTACAGTCACATGGATCTGCACACGTGGACTCCCATGGTCACACTCATGTATGCACACACACGTACGGTCCCACAGATCTGTACACTCACACGTGTTTCCGGTCGCACAGCTGACTTCCTGCAGCCGACCACTGTTCAGGCTGCCCGCTGAGGTGTGCTCATTCCTGGGCTGCGTCAGCGGGCAGTCAGGAGCGTGCTAGGCCCGCACGAGCTGAGCTGGGAGGAGCGGCCAGGAGTCTGGGTTTTCTCGTTTGCGAGTGGGGAGAGGGTAGCCATCCCTCTGCGGATGCCAGCCTGGGCATCTTGGCTGGCATGCAGTGAGTCAGTGAAGTTTGTGGTGGTTATCTTAGGACCACAGTTCATTCAAAGAAGTCCGAAGAAATCAGGGCAGATTTGAAGCAGATTTTTCCTATTTAAACATTGAGATGTAAATCAGATGTTTCTGTGCATGGGAAAATCCCAGCTTCAGGCCCACAGCAAGAATCGTTGTACTGTTCACATTTGGCTCAGGTTTTCATTAAATGCAGTACCTTTCCAAGTGCAACACGCAAGTGAACGAGAGGAAATTTACAGCCGTGGGGAGTGGTTCAGCTGGAGGCATCTCTGGGGGTGGGGTGAGGGCACGGCTCACAGCCTGGGGTGGCTAGGGCACGCCCTCCTCCCGCCTGTGCTGCGGGCCCAGCTGCGAGGATGCCCGCCGTGACCTCTGGCCTCTGGCCTGTGTTGGGGTGACAGCTTCCTGTCTGTGTGGAAAGCCCCACCTGACGGGAAAGAACGTGGCTGTGGGGCCTCAGCATCTCATCATTGCCAGGGGCAAGCCAGCTCATGTCCCCAGATTGCAAACATGGGATTGACTGTGTTGAAACTGTGAATGTCAGTCTGGTAAAACTGGAATTTTCTGCAGCCCCAGCCGATTGACTCAGTTGGAAAGCTTTGTTGGTGGGGAGCCCAGGCTTCGGAACTGGCCTCCGTCACTCAGGGCTGGGTAGAAGAAGGATTCCTTTGTGCAGGCAACAGGGCTCATGGGATCTTACCTGTATGAGTCTGGGAAAGAGGCTTTT